ATTAACAACGGAGTCATTAGCGAATGACTCCAGTTTACTTTTATATAATATATGATTTTTACTCATCTACCTGTATAACAAGAATTTCTAGATGACCTACTGGCGTAAATAAACATTCTACATGACCCATATATTTATCTTTTAAAAGATTTATTTTAAATCTATGAGTCTTTTGCATGCACGAATGTGTGTCGGTGTACCACATGTGTGTGTGGTACCCTTGGTGGTCAGGAGAAACCTGTAGATCTCTGAATTGGAATTATGGATGATTGATGGTTGTGAACCACCATGTGGTGCTGGGACTTGAACCTGGGTCCTCTGCAAAAGTAATAAGTGCTCTTAACTGCTGAGCCATCTCTCTAGACCCTAGCATATTTATCTTATGAAAATGATATCATTGGTCATAAGTACTCTTGAAAGTCCTTACTATATTCCTGTGAATTAATGAAAGCCTTAGAGTGCTTGCATGAATTAGTCTGTATTAGAAAAATCCAGAAATACCATTGCTAATTTATTTCATATAGCTAAATTAGGATGTGGTTTTTATTCAGATTTTCCCTTCCCCATTCTGTTAGTCACTAAAATCATGATAGTTTAAATATAGATTACTTAAATATAAAGTCCCACAGGAAATGCTCTGTTTCTTAGCTACAGTTTTCCCCAGCCCTTCTGGTCTATACCAGTACCACAGCTTTGATGCCTTCATTAGTTTCTAGTGCTGATTTATAATTAAAATAACTTCAGAGCCAACCTCATCTGAGACATTGCTTCAAATGTGGCCCAGTTTCTTTCACAATCCAAACTCCAGGGAATGGGGCATCTTGGGAAAGGATCCTAGCTTCAGTTCTGCCTTTTTCAAATTTTGTGACCTTGGAGAGGTCATTCACATTTTGTAGAGGCTCTTTTGGTCATCTGCCAAATGACTAGATGGGGAGGAGGGTCCTGAGTGTCTGCTCACAGGGACCTGTACTGACTGGGAAGACAGCAGGGTGTTGGTCAGGTGAGAGATCATTGGAGGTTTTCATTAAACGTTCTATCAGATCTTGTTCTCACACATACACAGGTTTGATTCAGTACTTCCCAATTGTTGAAGTTTTTAAAAATTAAACTAATAATAATTATTATTGAATGCCACT